TACTAATTACCGTAAGATCTTATTTTATCCTTTATTTTGACTTTTTCATTTTTTTTGCTGCTTTGCTTTCCTTTTTTATATTTCTCTTTACATTAAAAACTGCTGATTACCTCAATATTAATCCACCTAATGAAAACTAGTTTATCGTTTGATTTACTTTTACTTCAAAGTCGATTCACTCACACCGTGTGTATATGAATAATAAAAAAAATCAATAATTGCCATAATTATATGAAAATGGAACTGAATTCATCCAATCCAACGGCGGTTTCGTCCCTAAGTGGTGTTCACGAGGTTATTTTTCGCCTCGCTTTTATGGGTCAAGACGATGGTTAAATAAAAGAGTCGGACGTCATGCGGTCTTCGCCCACGGTACAATAAAGCTGGTCGGTATAAAATACCTACCACACCCACGCTTACTGCTTGATTAGAGATACGATTCACAAACAGCGTTTGATAACCGTGAATTTCATAGGATATAATCTTGTTTTGATGCTAGGATTTAGAATAAACTCCGCATTTATATCAATTCGACAATTCCTCAGCGAACGCGACAATTATTTATGCAGAAATATTAAGCAGAGCAAATTTTGAATCATTGGAAATATGTTGAATTTTTAATATGTAATTCTTTATTTGTTTTATATTTAATTCAAATTTAAACTGGTCTACGGTCTGAAATAAAGTTGTTATTATTCAGTTTTTAAGTTGTTGGTTTCTTAACATGAAATAAATATCAATGATTTAAGAAAATAGAAATTTATCTTTATAATTATATTAGAATTATCAAAGCTTTATTTGAAAAGTTTATTAACATTACATTAATTAACTAGCAGAGTTTTGAGATGACGAAATGATGATAATCATTTCTTCGACTATAAAGACAAATTTTGTCGACAATATTTATTTGTAAAACGAATCCAGCGTGTCTTTCTTATATTATTTTATTAAAAGAACACAGACTTGTCATTCACAAGTTATATTACGGGTAATAAAATTAACAGTAATATCCGTTCGCGTTTTATTCATTTTTATTTTGAGTAAAATAAATCTAACGAGCATTTTTTTCTAAATTCGTGAACGGTCTTTTAAATCGCTGTCATTATTCAAAGGAAATGAGTTTCGTTATGTTAATGCCTGTGCACATAAACAAAATGGTGGACGCGGAAATCGATGGTGCGGCTCAATTCGAATTGTGGCCCTATCCTGAAATACCGGTTGGTTGCCGAGACAAATACTATTTCGTTTCGTACAATAAACAAAGACGCCGCTTGGCACGATAACCGGTTCTCGGTACGGCTGGTTTCGAATCTGTTACCTAAGGGATCGGTATTATTACAGTCGTGCGTCGAAATCGTTCGAACCTTATCGGAAACTTAATTCGAATCTGGGTGCGACACGTGAGTTTTATGTAATATGTGAGAATTATTTTGACCAGTCGCAAAAAAAAAATATAATGTGATCTCTCTCCGCGTATCGCCTTAACGATAACCTTGTGTTTTATCTGTGCATAAAAATAATACCAATCAAAAATATACCGTCTATCTGTTCGCTTTTGCATGTTGAATATTTTCACTTTTTTCATCAATCGAAACAAATCATAAAGAGGTGGCAGTATTTATGAAGCTTCGTTTTTACTTCTCCCAAAAGTCGTCACTATTAAAAATAAACCTTCATATGGAAATGCGTTTATTTGCAATTTTGTGTAGTAATGAACGTCGACGCCATATACTGTACATACTAAACCAGATTAGTATTTATAGAATACGATAATTTGTTTAATAAAAGCTCCTCGTAAACAATGTAATCTTGAATACTCAACAATTACCGACGTATCGGAGCTACGCCACTTTTGTACATGCACATACATGCAGAACAGGAAACTCATAATAGCACTTTATCAATTTAAAATGTATATTTAACAAGTACGCAGCGAGCGAACTTTTCTGGCGAATAATACAGTCTTAAATATTCAAAAAATATCTTTATTTCTTGGTTATTAAATTTAGATGCCTCGATTACATTTGAATATTTTAATCGATGAATGCCGAAAATCGAACAATCTAAAGCTAGACATTAATTTTACATAATCTATATAATTGTACATTGAGCTCACGCGAAATTCATCCAATATATAGGCATTTGTTAAAAAAACAGTTTATTCGTTGAGGTTGAATTATCCGTACGTGGATGTAAATTGACTGCATGTGAAGATTTATTGTTCATTTAATAACATGTTTCGTGTGCAAGTACCAAGTACAGTAGACAGCATATGCGTCGAAAAGCACCCTACGGATGTTATGAAGTGGATACGAACTACGAACGCACTTAAATTTGCAATTCACACTTCTAGGGCCTTAAGTATCGAAGCGTAAACTGCCCATGGTGTATGATTCTTCGATATTATTCATACTCGTACAATTTTGCCGTGTCGTTATAATTCATTAGTATACACACAAAATCGCAATTTGAAAATACCGTTATGTATACGCATTTTGATTTTTTTTAAACCTACTATATAGTTGAGTTGGTAGAGTATAGTTATAAAACCTTTTATTTCTGTTCCCATGCCGTGAGAGGTTTAAATAATGAGTTATTTAGATTTATAAATATGATATATTCCCTGATATACTGAAATTGTAAAAACTTGCATAAACTGCCCATTGTTAATGTAGTTCAATTGATTACGGTTGTTATTTAAACACTTTTATCGTGTTCACTTTAATATGCCTCGGTTGGAGATAACACGCGTGACGGACGTCACATCTTTGTTCGACTTATGCATATTTTATAATTGATATAATTAGTAAATTGAACTATACACGGATTTTATTGCGTTTTATTGGGTATGGGATTAAGAACTTGATTTCTCGTAAGAAATAACATCACATGAAGAGAATAACGTAATATAATGGTTATAAAAAGCATTTTATTTAAATTACCCACGTTTCGAATACTTGAGATTCGAAACCGGAAAGAAAACTCAATTTAACATGCACAGATGATACATATCTTGTTTTTCTTTGACTCATTATATTATTTTTCAAAATATAGATTTACGTACAGTATACACAAAGTTATTGTTACATACGAAAATATATTAAACCATCCAATTAAAATGTAGTTTTTTTTTCAATAAATGTAATAAGCACGGTTGGTCCACCTTAGGTAAGTGGAGTAAATGATAAATTGAAATTGTATTTTTGTAAGATATTTGTTTTTCCTAATAATCTTACTATTTTTTTTTCACTGCCTATTCGTTATGAAGCCCTCAATAAACATGGTTTCTATCATATTAAATTTAATTTTCTTACTTATGGCGTGATTTAAAGCTACAGCCGTCATTTGACGCCGATGCATCGGATTTTCGATGGTCCGTCCGGTGTGCGGGTAAATACAATAAAACATTATATCTCGAAACTAAAATGTAATTTATATCGACAAAAATGTTCTTTATCCAAATTCACCACAAAGAGCGTGCTCGTATAATTTTTTCAAAATAACAACGGGGAGATGATAATTTCCCTGTAAAGGGGCGAGTTTGTAAAAGATAAAAAAAATTGACAGCATTAACGTTTCGGTCACAAAAAAGTTCGGTTGGCGAAACCGCAACAAATTTGTACGCGCGGCAGCTGCGGTGGTTTCGCGAAAAACGCATTTTTACCAAAGTGTCGACGGAAAACGGAAGCCGGTCGCACGACGCAGAGGCTAATGCGCGGAACCGGCGAAATTGCATTTTTAGGGCTCCGCCAATTTCGGTTACTGCTCTGCTCCGAGCCCATATGCGAAACGTACGATAAATAACAGTTGCAATAACGCTAACCAAGATAAAAACGTTTCGGTTTTGCATTCTGAATTCCTTGATGAAAAATCTCGTGAAAGCATTAAAAACAGTTTGAATATGATTTGAAGTGACAAAACTAATAAACAATAATATAATTAAATTAAAAATTATTTATTAACAGTGGATTTTTTCAGCTTGAGCGGAATTGTAGATAATAAAAGCTTTTGTTAATACTTTCACAGTTTTTATTTGAGTATTTATTCAAAAGATCAAAAAAATTACGTGTTTATATGCTTAATGGTAATTGTGCTTGGGTATGATATTTCGCATGGTCATTATAATTTTTTCCTTAGATGTTTTTTTCAATCTTGTTCTTCTTCTTGTTTAAATATTAATAAAGAATTCATCGGTTAACTATACATACATATAGCTTACTGTACGAATATGAAAGTGCATAACGTACTAACAGGGAACATTCTAGAACATTATTATCGGCATATTCATTCAGCCATCACTTTAACGTGCAATAATTACAAAATAATCAAAACGTATGCACATATTGACCGAGCTGCGATGAGGAATGCATTTTTTCTCGTATTGAATATTGCAAGCGGCCATATAAGCTGTACGGGCCGTACCTACTTACATCAAATTAATACGTGTATTACTCGTTTGGGTTCGTAGCCAACTATCTCTCAATTTGAAGAGACAAGCAGCGGGAGCCGGTTTCCGAACGAACTAGCCTAGGCTCGTAAGTAAGCCTCCTAACCAGTTCCGCGCCAATTATGTGGTGCTGCTATTCGATACGATATAAACAACCGGCAAGCAATGCATTCAACAACACCGTAGGCGTTGTACTCGTACATACAAAACATTTTAATGCGCGCAAGCTATACGCTTCGTTATTTGCAAAGCGATGTTCCTACATTTACTCCCAGGAAACACGATTCAATTACAATTTTAACCATCTGTTCATTCTTGGCGCATTGTAAACATGAGGTGACTGAGAACGGCATGTTTTCGTTGTTAATGACAATAATATCTACGCACCTAATAAATTATTCATGCTTAACGGATAAATGTCCTGATTGTAAATAGGTGTATCACACCTTCATTCTCCATTAAGCCAACAGGGTGACTGAAATAGGAATTAATAAAAATAGACTAAAGATATTTTTTTTTGGAAGAAATTAAATAAAAGCGATGAGATACTCACCTCACCCTATCAGAAACGATTTCGGGTTTTGAATGCCTCTTGGCAGGAGTTATCGCATGTGGGACAGCATGTGTAGGGCTCGCCGAAGGCTCTGAAGAGGCAGATGGTGGAGAGCAAGACCCCGAGCTGGATAGACTAAAGGCCCTGGAGCGCACGTCTGTCACCGCTGGCGCTCTTCCCGACCGAGCTCGCCTGCGCCTCTTTTTCTCCTCATCCGCTCTGATTATTGCACCGGGCGGGGCCCAGTCTAAGTCTTTCTTTAAGTGCCCGCGCCCGCATCGGCATCCGCAAGCTTTGAACGCCAAATCGTAACCCTTCTTCGTCCATAGATTCTGGTGACGCTGACGTTCGGACCAGGAGCGGGCTCGGCCACAAGACTTGAGATAAGCGAGCACGCCGGCCTCCCATTGCTCGAAGCATTCTCGGTGCATATAGCGGCCGACGGCGCACGTGTCATTGTTGCATAGCACGCGGATGGCGTCCTCAGCGCGTACGAGCTCGCGTGGGCGAAGGCACTCGCCGGGTACACAGCAACCCTGTGCCTCCTCCGCCTCGCGTTCGCCGGTGGCGCCCTGCCGTCGCGGGGCCATACCTCGACTCGCCAACGAAATCGAACGTGCCGCGGAAAGTCGGAGCGCGTCACGCGAGACACATGCTTACAGGAGCGCGCGCGGCCGACTAATAACCGCGAGTGAACGAAAGCGAAATTTCAAGAGCGCAGCGCGTCGCCGCGCCGCCGCCGCGCCACCCGCTGCACGCGGGGCTGACCTTGCGGCGCGCGGGCGGCGGGCGGCGGGGGGCGCGGGGCGCGGGCGTGCAGTGAGGGGCGGGCCGATGCGGCCGCCGCGCCGGGTGGGGAGAAAGTGCCTAGCGAATTTTCACTTTCGCGCGAGAGCGGTAGCGGATGCGACAGCGGGAGCGGATGGTCGCGTCGCCGCTGCGGCGGCTGATGCAGCGAAAAAAGACCTAGGCGCACATAATCTAAGTTTCTGTTCAATTATAAAAGGCGGCTCATTGCAACGCTATATGATTATAAAGAAGATGCAATGTACAATTGTTCACCTTTATAATGCATTGTGTAATATGTTTTATGAACTGCACCGTAGTACTTTTTTTTATACTAAAACATTTAGTTGCCAGTTTTTCTGCTGCATGTGTAATTAAATGTTTTAATAATTATTCGCTTTCAAAAAACTTTAAACATTTACTTAGGTTATTCTTATATCGTTCATCCGTAAATGGTTAACTTATGTACCGTCTGCACTGAACTGTCTACCCGTTTTTTAGTCGTAGGAATCAAACTCGATACCTACAAACTTATATTTGTGTGGTGTATTGTATTAAAATGTAGTTATAATTATTTACATACCACTAAATCGTGTAATATGTGTTATATAATATCCAACTACGAAATCCGATACCATGCAAATTGCAAGGTCAAATTCAAATAATATGCTAATCATGCAAATATGAACAAACAAAACTTAAATGGATACATATAATACTGATTCGAATAATATAATTGGAATCGCATATTAATAATAGCAATTTATTCATTATTACCTATTAGAAAATAAATACAATGTAGTATATATGTACGTAAAAGGTATCTATAATGATTTTATATTGCTACTAGCGGATCCGATAGACGTTGTCCTGTACAGATACAGATGTCTTAAATCCGACAACAACTTTAAACAAAAAAGAAATTAAATTACAATTTTGTAGTGTACCGAATTGTGAATCTAAACCATTCTCGAATCCACTTGAGCATACACAAAAATCGGTCCAGCCGTTTAGGAGTTCATGCCACATACACACGTTGAGAAATATTATGTATATGTATAAAGATGGCCTTTTTTAATTTTTTTTAACCTAATCCGATATTGTTTACTGCTTAAGTAGGTAGTGAGCCTATTTTTAGAAAATTTTCATGTTGTTTGTCCTGGATATAATTGATTGACCTAAGTTTTTCTTTCAAAATTTCAGAGTTGTTATATTGAGCCAACCCAAGGATACCACTAATTAACAAATAATGATTCCTTCACTACCAAACATCATATGAACACCTAAAGGCATAAAATTTCAACAAAATCTATCAAGCCGTTTGGAGTTCATCCGGCAATAAGATTATGTACTTCAATACATACATTTTTATTCATATAGAAAATTACTCTAAACCGGCAGATGTCTTGCCGTTCAACGGGATGAAAAATAAATGCTGTAGCGCCATCTAGTGTGTATTTTCCATATTTGTGCACTTATGCTTATTTTAATGGCGATCTGTTAAACGGTACAGAAATTGATGTAGGTACTGAAGTTATATTATCTGGTGGCGAATTCCAATAAACGAGATAGCTTGAAGAACTTATTCATGAATATGTGTATACATATATAATTAGAAACGTCCCAATTTTCATGGTTATGATTATGGGCTGCCACTTAATTAAATTGGTTCATCAAATGTTTAAAAAAAAATCAACACCTGTCAAAACTTTACGATCTCTTACCGTGTTTATGTAATTCATGCAAATTATCACGATAAAAACAACTTAAGTAGGTACGTAAAACAGGTTTTTGGAGATGCATGTGCGCTAATACGATTAAATCAGGTGTTTTTTGTATAAAAAAGCCATCACATAACTGCGTCCAACGCTTTTTTGTCCGCAACCGGTGTCTTTGTAATGTTTTTTTTTATTTTATTTTTTTGCCGATAATATTATAAGTAGGTAGTACCTACATTAGTGGTTATGGAATTACGAAATGCTTTTTAATGGCCTTCGAGAAGCGAGTCGTTTTTAAAAACCTAAGTATTGAGATTATATAACGAGTAAACATGTTCTTATTTTACGTATATTTTCATGTTGTTCTTTTGTCATAGATGGTTGCAAGCTTGAAGCTATATGCGAAGTAGGTTGTTTAAATAAAACCTTTAAGATATATTAACAAAAACATGTACATATACTTCTACTTTCAAAATTAATGCATATTAATATCTTGATGAACAATATAATTGGGGTAAGTATTAACAGTTTACCGCCACTAATGAACACCAACTACGCTACGGGGTTTGAAGATACCTTTCCAACTATTTTTTAAAATTCAAAACCGGCTAGTACTTGACTGCCATCCACCTGATGGTAAGTGGCGATGCAGCCGTTGATGGTAAGCGCGCTACCTCAGTAGAAACCTATTAAAAAACTTTTAAAGTTATCTCAGTCACCCGGCGAAAGGTAATGTAAAAGAAAAACTTCCACCTCACAGTGGTCTCCTTGGTGGTTACCTTTGCGGACGGGCCTACCCATTCGTGCAACGCTAGATGCTGCTGTGGCCTTAACACAATACATTCTTAATAATTATGTTCAAAAATTATTGTGCCAGTATATGAGAAGTACTAAACTCATGTACTAAAATCATGACTATCCTGAATGAAATAGACAAAGAACGACTACAAAGGAAGTAAAGTGGAACAAATATTCGGAAAAATTCACTAGGGTTCGAAATGGTATCGATAATGGCAGTGATATGTAATTTATAGCATAGTCCAATCGGTGATATGTATGCCTCTGGTAGTTGAAATTCATGTAAGTACAACGAGAATTAATTGATTGTGCGAAATTGTTTAAGGATATCTGAAAATCGTAAAACTTAGTTACCATCACCTCTTGCTGTTTTCACCTTATCTGTAATAAAAAAAAGTTACGCCACTTGGATCCGAACCTGCAAGTTAAGATTACAAGTCTGTCGTCCCGGTCACTACGCAGTTACTGACTTTATTAAATGTATTTTTCTAATGCCATGATTTAAAATATAATTGATATGATGCCGGAGCGCAAAGGGTTTTCTTTATTAACAACACATAACTGAACAATCACATCGAAATAAAATCCCTCGGGACTCTTTCAATGTTTGGTATTATTAAAAATAAATAGGGCTTGCATTCCTGCGCCATTCACGGGCGTCGGGATCGCTTCTTAAAGCGCGCACGTGTATAATCTATAGGGTGGTCATAAAGGGCCACAATGGGGCCTGCTCCTCAGAACCGGTTCAAGGCTGGAGGCCCCGAGAGGAGGGAATAAAGAAGCCAGTGGCGCAATGTGTGACCCAATTTTATTTCCACTTACATGCCTCCGCGCCAGGTGATAGGTGCATTTCATACGTCGCTTAGGGGAGTCGACACGTGTATCGGCAGAAGCGGACCACATCGCGACAAGGTTACGTTTTGCGCGTCGGGAACTGCCAAATAAAGCGATAACAGCCTCTATTGCCGACAGTTAAACGGTGCTAATTGTGAATACGCGTGATGTTCAACTTTGCTAAGGAATGGCCGGTCGAACGGAAAAAGAATCGCCCGTATTATTATAACTCTTTTGTCTGTAGAGAAGTCCGTACATCTGTGACCTCTGAATGGGCGGTTCGGTGTATATGAAATTATTACTCGTAATCGTAAAACTTTTATGTCGACTGCGCATGAGTTTTTAATGTTGTTTTTTTTTTTATCGAAAAATATGGCGTGTCCTTATGCACGTCGTGTCGTTCGGTAATCGATTTTCGTAATCGTATAAGTAAACGAGAATTGTCAATCTTCTTTTAAATTGTGAGGGTATTTTATTGACGCAATTACTTTGAATGGGCGTTCCTTATAAATGTAAAAAATGAATTATTATTATGACATAGTTAGGTATATGTATAATACCCAACTGAAAAATATGTATATAGTTCAAAAGTACACTTATATATTATTACTAGATGACTCGGCAAACGTTGTTTTGCGATACAAATTATTTGTAGGGGGATGAAAAATAGATGTTGTCCGATTCTCTACCCCGGCCGATATGCACACAAAATTTCACAAAAATCAGTAGAGCCGTTTAAGAGGAGTTGAATTACAAACACCGTGACACGAGAATTTTATATTAGATCTATTAATTACATTAGTTTTAGAGGTGCGTCGAATATCGGTTCAACCGAATACGAATGTTGGGCGGAACATTCGGTGGAATAATTCGGACCACAGGGTGACAGGACACGAAGTAGTGGAAATAATCCGATATAAATACAGTACCTGGAAGACCGAGCTTTGCTGGGTTTTTTTTTGGTAAATCGTGTATTTTGGAAATAAAAAAGATAAAGAAAGCAATGATCTGGTATAGAAAAAAAAGTTAAAAAAAAATAAGTGTGTAAATGATCGTGAACTGCGGCCTTCTGTTTCGGGGCCGCCCGATTACCGACCGAGGTATAATAACATTTTTTTTTCGGCGATACTTATATTTTACATATACACACACAAATATATACAAGAATTGCTCGTTGCAGTATTACAGTACACGACTCTTGTTTTGTTTAGTTATACTTTTAGCATCGAATCGTTCCCATAACTATAACTAAACTATGGAACATGAATCATACAACTCATTGTTTTGAAGGTAACACTGATTTTCGTTAAATAAGTATATAAAAAGTTTAGTACGATGAGTCCGTACTTTTCTATGCGCTGAACTGACTTTCATTAATTTCCGGATTAGAATAGTTGTTTAGCTTGCCAAACTTAACTTATTACACTCTGCAACCTATTTTATATGCTATTTTTAGTGTTCGTTCAATCCAAGTGAATATACCATGCGAATTCAAGTAGAGGTATGTTTGTATAATTAGTATGATAAATAAATCCAACAAATATCCATACATTGGGTTCTATAACAAGGTTTTTTTTAAAACCTTAAAGTTATGTCAGGGATTGTCTTCATTGCAGCATCATCAATATCTTTGGTACTTAAGTAAAAAGCAGTTAAGAGTGCATTGCGCAGTCACAAAACCGGTTTTCCTAGCAACTACGAAACATCGCTCACCAATTAAGCAATGGAAACATCCTTCGACGTAAAAACCGTGACAGTTGTAAAAGTTTACACCGGCCCCCCCATTTCCTTTGGACGACCGGATGCGCAGTCAAATACAAGAAGCTCTTACGTACGAGTGAATTAGTGCGGTGCGTAATATACAAATATAATAAAGACTGAGTTTAGTCCTATTCATGTATTGGTCATAACATTGTAAGTTTTAACCGTGGCAGGAGCACGTAACAGTCTCCGCTGTTGCACGAATGGGCAGGTCCGTCCGGGTGAGTACCGCGACCTCACAGAAGAGCGGCGTGGAGTAGAAGTGTTATGCTTCCGCGTTTTGTCTGGTGAGTGAGGTAGCCTGGCCCCACTTTAATAAAAGGCGGCAACGCATCTGCACTACGGGTGATGATTTCATTAGCCGACGGTTATCACTTAAAGTCAGATGAACCGCCAGCTCGTTCGCCACCTTCTCACATAAGTAGGTAGATAATAATAATAAACGCTGTAACTTTCCGACTATTGGGTGTTTTCGATGATAGGTTAGTATATATTTTAAATTTACCACGTTAGATTAGTACATTTCCGTCGACGTGACGGTCCGAGCGATCAGCACGCAAAGCAGATCCACTCGGGCGCACAGTTCCGCGCAGGCTGTGGCCGCAACGTCGTTTGCACATAATGGCCGACGTTGCCACTCTCACGCGGCATTATATTCTTACAATGATACGGATGAGCCAACGTCTAGCCATATTCGCGACGTATTCCGGCTAGGGCGGACAGAGCTCGCTGTGTTTGCCCAATGACTCATTAGATGGCGGTATTTAACATAATCATTTATGCGGTCGCCCGTCGTTTGTATTTCCGACACGTAGCGTCGCTTCGCATTATTTCTCTGCACCCATAGAAATTCTGTATCGAAAAATTTATTGCGTTGAATGCAAGTTGTTTCTTAAGTTTCATTTTACGCTATGGATTTGGTGGAATTCTTTCGTTTTTCAGATATAAATACGCTTGAATAATAAATTAATTATGATGCTAGTTACATTAATCTCTTTTTATTCAGTTCTGCAAAAGTAATGTAAATAACCGCCTATACATGTCTCACTGCTGGGCAAAGGCCTTCTCTGTGCAGAGGGTATTAGGGCATAGTCTAATCACGCTGTCCCACTGAAGATTAATAGACTTCGTGTATTTTCGAAAACGTATTTTTTATTATTATGTATTTCGAAAATAGAAGATTTCCTCACAATCCCTGTTCCCTGATGAACTCTTGATAAGTCTGGCACCTAAAATTGCAATTTACAATTTCATTGTTGCCGGCACCGCGATTTGAACTAAGGTTGCTCGATTATAATAAACTAGCTGTTCCATGCGATTACATCCGCGAGAAAAGTTTCTGCTTCGCCTCAGTAGGTCGTAGGGAGATGTTAAATGTCCTATAACTCTTCCTCAATAATCGGGCTATCAAACACAAAAATATTGAAGGAGTGCAGAATTCTAATATTTTTTTAATTATGCATAAAAATACTTTAAGTCAATAAAAAAATACACACACTACCATGTATAATTTATTTAGGTCGAATTTCGACCGCTGGGCTACCACTAGTTATATTAAATGAGTACAGATAGATTAAAAGCTAGGGCCCGGACACCGAGCTATCACCGCTTCTATTCCGTCCGATATGTAGTATTAAACACTTTGTTATCGCAACAAGCATAAAGACACAAACGGTTCTATAATACACAGATAACACGCATCCAGCCTTACAACGAAAAGCCGCTGATGGGTCTAAAAACGCAACAGCGCGGAGCTTAATTTTTATTTGACCCACATCTAAGGGATGATTGCTGAATCGTTTAATTATTACTTTTATAGGTCACTGCATAATGTTGGCAGGTGCATCGGAGCGTGCACCTGCTGTCGGCAGGGGCTGTTCAAGGTCTCGCTTTGTGCCAGTTTCTTTGTTTTTTTCCGTTCCACAACCCACCATGTGCGTGCGTCGATTACGTTTGGAACGGACGCGAATAAGCTTGGAAGCTTCGCTGCTCCTTCTGCCTAAGCCCCTTGAAAGCAATACTCCGATTTTTTGATAAAGATTTATATAAATACGAACCAGGGGACTGCAACGCCCGCCAACGCTTTTGCTACTTAAACTTCTCAAATATCCGCTAATTTATATCTGTAGTATTATAAATTCACATTTTGTTTTAGCTTCTAGAAAGAAGAATTAAATATAAATACAAATCATGCGTGAAAGGATATGATTTTTAAAAGTATTTCCGTACCCAAAAAAAAAATTATTTATACGCTTGCTAGTTTGCTCTAGTACGCTTTTTAGCATCTCCTTAAAAATATAGTATTTAGGGTTTCTCTAGCAATATTTTAAATAATTTGATATAAATACTGCTATCGTTTTCATCTAAGTGCAGTCCTTCGTCGCTCGTAACGAAGGGAATGTGAGGGAAATTTTATTTTTAGTATTAAAACTTCGAGGGGCACAATGCAAATACAAGTCGTGGTTGCGCGAAAGCTAACGAACATCAATTATTTCGCATTTATTACCACATGCGCATAACAATCAGAATCGTGAAAATAAATTATAATATAGAGTGAAGTTCGTAAAAGATGCTACGACATCGTAAAAGGTAAATGCTGGCATTTAAACAACGAAGCCTGGTCCTTCGATAATATTACCGTGTCGTTATTAACTTTGACAGTCACTTCCTTCTTTGCCTTTTCGTTTTTAAATTATTCTAAAGGACTCTTTTGATATATATTTTTATCCCACATATTACAAGACAGTATGAATTATATCGTAATTAATTAATCTGATGCAAGCTAAAATTTTCTTTATAATTTCATTGATTCTTCACTATAAAAAATAGATCCAATCAAAATAAATAATAAAGTTTCAAACTTACTTTAATTTCGCTTTTTTACTTTAAACAAAAGCTTTAGACGTTTTTACAACAAAATTAACAACTATTTTAAAAACTTATCAGCTATTCTACTATTTAAAAAAAAATTAAATAGTATAATACCAAAGGGTAGATACGTCTTTTGTTCTCTTATTTTTGCATAACTGTGTCTATACGTCAAAAATAACATACATAATGTTATTGGATGTCGATTAGCCAACTCCATTCATGGTAAGCGATAGGCGAAAGGTTATATCTAGAATTATCACGTCAGCTTCGCTAGTGCCGCGTCTTTTTCATCCGATGGAATTCCTCCGATCGTTCGCGCGTCGTTCGCATAACTATAAAACTTGCGAAACGCTATAGCCACCCCGTTGAACCGGTAGGCCTTGGTCTCACAAAGGGACCCTTGTCGATCTGCCGGCGAGCTAACCTTGGGTTATTTT